ATGAGAGGGAAACGTGCGACGCGTCTGAGTGTCTCGAGAGGACCCCGCCGTGCCCGTGCCTGCTGAAGGAAGAGGAAGAGGAAGAGGAAGGAAGGAAGACGTGGCTGCTTCCTGGGAAAGAGAGAGGGGAGTAGAGAGAGGGAGGTAGAGAGAGAGAGAGGTAGAGGAGAGAGGAGGGAGGTAGAGAGAGGAGAGGGAAGGTAGAGAGAGAAAGGGAGTAGAGAGAGAGAGGAAGGTAGAGAGGAAGGTAGAGAGAGAAAGGGAGGTAGAGAGAGAGGGAGGTAGAGAGAGAGAGGAAGGTAGAGAGAGGAGAGGAAGGTAGAGAGAGAAAGGGAGGTAGAGAGAGAGAGGTAGTAGAGGGAGAGAGAGAGAGAGGAAGGAGAGAGAAAGGGAGGTAGAGAGAGAGAGGAGGTTAGAGAGAGAGAGGAAGGTAGAGAGAAGAGAGGAAGGGTAGAGAGAAAGGGAGGGTAGAGAGGAGAGTGAGGTAGAGAGAGAGGAGGAAAGGAGAGAGAGAGAGGAGGAGAGAGAGAGAGAGAGAGAGAGAGAGAGGTAGAGAGAAAGGGAGGTAGAGAGAGAGAGGGAGGTAGAGAGAAAGGGAGGTAGAGGAGGGAGGTAGAGAGAGAGAGAGAGAGGAAGGTAGAGGAAAGGGAGGTAGAGAGAGAGAGGAGGTAGAGAGAGAGAGGAAGGTAGAGAGAGAGAGGAAGGTAGAGAGAGAGGAGTGAGAGAGAGGGAGGTAGAGAGAGAGAGTGAGGTAGAGAGAGAGAGGAAGGTAGAGAGAGAGAGGAGAGAGAGAGAGAGAAGGTAGAGAGAGAAAGGGAGGAGAGAGAGAGAGGAGAGAGAGAGAGGAAGGTGAGAGAGAGAAAGGAGGTAGAGAGAGAGGTAGAGAGAGGTAGAGAGAGAGAGGGAGGTAGAGAGAAAGGGGAGAGGAGGAGAGGAGAAGGTAGAGAGAGAGAGGAAGGTAGAGAGAAAGGGAGGTAGAGAGAAGGGGAGGAGAGGTAGAGAAGAGAGAGAGGTAGGGAGTAGAGAGAGAGAGGGAAGGTAGAGAGAGAGAGGAAGGTAGAAGGTAGAGAGAGAAGAGGAGGTAGAGAGAGAGAGAGGTGAGGGAGAGAGGAGGAGAGGAAGAGAGAGAGAGAGAGAGAGAGAGAGAGGCAGGTCCTCTTGAACTGATATAAATCAGCCTCACTCTAAAAGCCCCATAATCACCATTCAGAAGAGTGATAAGGACTACTTTGGCACTGAAATATAATAGAGATACTGCTGCTTTTATATTTATTAATGTATATATACTCTTGGGAATGATGTTTTATTACGAGAGCAAACGAACGAGATAATAACACGAAATAATAACCTTTTAACTGTCCCATTCATGAGGTATGAAACCCTAATGCCATATATCTGCTTATAAGTTCTTTGTCTTGTTGCTGAATTAATACTTTAAAATTCATATTTGTTATTGTCAGAATAATATATATTGTATGTATACTATATAATATATATATTATATATATATATATATATATATAATATATATATATATTAATAAAGTTATCACGCCGGCCTTTATTACGGAATCACAACATTACTCTCTTTTAAAACACAAACGATATTGTCATAATATGGCTTCTCTAACCTGCCAATGTATGCATGCTGCTGTAAAGGTTTAATCATTCTAATTTCTTTGGTTTCTGCTTAAAATTAATGTAAATAATTATTGTTCCTAAAAATAATGTAATATATTAAGATGGACAATGAATACATATGCTTCAATTGTTTATATGGAGCTTTGTATGTATGTATATACCTTGTTTTGGTATTATTGTATACACGGTTGTTAAAGAATACATGTGATGACAGACTCTCGCCATCCTCACGCCCCAGTTNACTCCTCGGACGTCGTCGAGGCAAGCTCCTCGGACGTCGTAGGCAAGCCTCAATTAGCGGCATGGGTTAGGCAGGAGACTGTCGCCTGTTCTTCTTCCGGCGATTTCGCCTTCGTTTCTTCGTTTTAATCCCGAAGAGGGCGTTTTCAAACTTTTCGAACAATCGACACAGAACAGCTTTCACTGCTGTGAAAATCGATGTTCTCATAAAGTTTTCCATTAAAAAAAATAAACATTTCACTTCCTAGATACGAACCTGTGAATAGAAAAAAAAAACGTCCGCGTGTATGCTTGGGTATTGGTGATTGCATCTGTCACCGCCGAGGCCATTTCTATATATATATATATATATATATAATATATATATATATATATATATATATATATATATATATATATATATATAATAAATAATAATAAAATTATATATATTATATATATATATATATATATATATATATATATAATTTTATTATTTATTTATTATATTATATATATATATATATATATATATATATATTATTTTTTTTTTTTTTTTTTTTTTTTTTTTTTTTTTTTTTGTACTATAATTTTCTGTTCGCATTTTTAGTTTAATTTTTTCGACCTATTTAGTTGATATTTGTTTGTTCTCTAGCTCTTTCTTTTTTCTTTTAGATGAGAGGGAAACGAGCGACGCGTCTGTGTCTCCCAAGGACCCGCCGTCCGTGCCCCCAAGGACCCCGCCGTGCCCCCCAAGGACCCCGCCGTGCCCCCCAAGGACCCCGCCGTGCCCCCCAAGGACCCCGCCGTGCCCGCGCCCGCTGATCCCGAGGAGGAAGGAAGACGTGGCTGCTTCCTGGGACTTTTTTTTTTTTTTTTTTTTCTGTCCTCTTGAATTGATATAAATCATCCTCACTCTAAATCCCATACAATTCAGAACATAAGAACTTTGGGATTGAAAGATAATGACAGAAATACCGCTGCTTTTATATTTATAAGTGTATATATCCTCTGGGGAATGGTGTTTTATTACGAGAGCAAACGAACGATAATAACGAAATAATAACCTTTTAACTGTCCCATTCATATCTCATCAGTCTTTTATCACGGGCCTTTTTTATGGAATGTAAGAGAATAAGAAAATAAGAATGTAAGAGTAAGAGAATGCACATGACACCTTTAAAAACACAAGCAATATTTGTCATATTATGCTCTCTAACCTGCCAATGTATATGTATGCTGTGTAAAGTTTAATTTATTCTAATTTGGTTTCTGTGAAAATAATGTAAATAATTATATATGTAAAATAATGTAATGACAATGATACTATGCCTCAATTTTTTATATATGAGCTTAATGTGTATGTATATAGTCTTGTTTGTATTATGTATACGGTTGTTGAACATCCGGGGCCTTCCGGAAGGTCAAACTCCTGGAGGGCTCAGCTGTATTGTATATTATATGCTTTTGTATTTGTATTTCTTTTTTTTGGGCTAAATAAATGATTTGATACTGATTCTGATTCTCCGTTATCCTCTCTCCCTCCCTCCTTTAATCCATGCCCCCCCCCCCCCTCTCTCTCTCTCTCTCTCTCTCTCTCTCTCTCTCTCTCTCTCTCTCTCTCTCTCTCTCTCTCTCTCTCTCTCTCTCTCTCTCTCTCTCTCTCTCTCTCTCTCTCCCCGCCTATCGCACAGTGTGGCCAAAGCAAAAAGTAAAAACAACGGCAAACAACATAGTAGAAATATTGGAAAGGGAAATAGAGAGATGCACCAGCAAGAAGTGAATATTTAGAAGAAACGAGACACAGATAAACAGACACGAGATAGACAGGCATCAACAGACACAAAACAGACAGACACGAGGCAGACGGGCCACATCCCCCTGTCACGGCTCCCTCTGTAGTGGACGACGCCAAATACGTCGTTTCTCCAGGAAGTAAAAACCCGAAATTTCCTCTCATTTTTAACCTCTCCCACAGGCCTAGTATCGGAAGAAAAGGACGAACCCGAGGTGGCAACACTGATTCTCGCTTACACCCGCGGAAGAACTGACGTGGAGAATAATGGGATGACAGTCAATCTGATTGGGTGAACGCCAGTCCGCTCTCCTAACAACACGAGAGAGACCTGAGAGAGAGAGAGAGAGAGAGAGAGAGAGAGAGAGAGAGAGAGAGAGAGAGAGAGAGAGAAGAGAGAGAGAGAGAGAGAGAGAGAGAGAGAGAGAGAGAGAGTGAGACCCTCCCAATTCTGATTCAGTGACTTTCGAGAGCGTGAGCCGTCCGTCCAAGATGGCTGCACAACAGCTCGCCGGGGACGCCGCTCGCCCTGGGTCACGCTGCAGGTGGCGCTGCCGAACGAGGTAGAAGAAGGGAGAGAGAGAGAGAGAGAAAGAAAGAAGAGAGAGAAAGAGAGAGAGAGAGAGAGAGAGAGAAAGAGAAATAGACCCTCCCAATTCTGATTCAGTGACCTGCGAGAGCGTGAGCCGAGCGAGGTCGTCCAAAGATGGCGCTGCAACACAGTTCGCCGGGGACGCCGCTCGCCCTGGGTCACGCTGCAGGTGGCGCTGCCGAGCGGGGAAAGGGAGAGAGAGAGAGAGAGAGAGAGGAGAGGAGAGAGAGCGAGAGAGAGAGAGAGAGAGAGAGAGAGAAGAGAAGAACCTAAAAGAGGAAAGAGAAAGGAGAATGAACAGGGGAAAAGGTAGAAAAGGGGAGGACAGACACGAAACAGGGAGACGACAAAAAGAGATAAGAGAGGGAAAATGAGATACCACGCGAGAAACGGAAGAAATGGAGAGGAAAGGGGAAGAGGGAAGAGAGGGAGAGAGAGAGAGAGAGAGAGAGGAAAGAAGAGAGAGGGAGAGAGGAGAAGAGAGAAACAAGACCCTCCCAATTCTGAGTCAGCGACTTGCGAGAGCGTGAGGCCGAGCGAGGTCCGTCCAAGATGGCGCTGCAACACAGTCGCGCGGGGACGCGCTGCCCTGGGTCACGATGCAGGTGGCGGCGCCCAGGAGCGAGGGAAAGGGAGAGAGGAGAGCAGAGAGAGAATGAAAGAAGAGAGAGAGGAGACGAGAGAGAGGAGAGAGAGGAGAGGAAGAGAGAGAAAAGAGAGCAGGGAGGAGAGAAGGGGATTACTGGAAGACGCGCGCGGAAGATGATGCCTGATACAGAGCAGGAAGATGACGTCGGGGGGGGGGGGGGTATGTTGTGTGCGTGTGTGTGTGGTATAAATATAGTATATGTTCCGTAGTGAGTAGGTAGATATAGATTAATTA